TTTTTTTTTTTTTGAGACAGAGCCTCAAGCTGTCCCCCTGGGACACCAAGTCTAGCTGGACATTCTTAAGAGACACAGTAGTTGAGATGACTCAGAAACTGCCTGAAAATGAAGACCAGGTCTTAGTCAATCCCATCCACTCTATCCACTCAATGCTTGTGGAAATCCAGACACTCCAGGATTATACTTTTAGAACTTTTCTTCTGACTACACAAGTGGCACAATCATAATTAGCCTGTACTAATATAAAGCTCTGCAACCCAGAACACATTATACATATGTGGAAATTTTCACAACCATTTTCTTCTTGGATCCTCACAGAATTCTTGTAAGATAGTTACAAGAATCTACTACTGTAGAGGAAATAAATTCAGAGCTAAAGTGACATACCAAGGTCACATACATTAAAAGTGGCAATCCTAAAATTTGAACCTAGAGTTGGTGGTATGCTCTAACACCCTCCATGGAGATTAAATATGGCTATGTACCCAAAAGGACTGTTAACCCTTGGAAGCAGATAAGTGCCATTTCTGGGAATCCTTCCCTGTCTCAAGCATTAATTTATTTGGAAACGTTTAGGTGCTAGGTATGGCACGTTGTGTTACAAGAACAGCAGTGAACGAACAAGACAAAATGCTTGGCCTCAATCTACTTCAGGGAGCCAAACAAGGAAGCAAATACAATAATACTATATAAGGGATAAGTGCTACTTAAAAAATACATGAGTGACACTTTGGGAAAATGTATCCTTTTTGCAAGCACTACTTTAGATAAGAGTGGTCAAAGAAAGGATCTCAGAAAAATAACATTTAAGTTGAGACCAAGCTTGGTCTTCAGTAAGCAGGTAACAAAAGGCATTTCCCACTCTCTATGAAAAAGAAGCCATACTCTGTAAAATAAAAAGGTTTATTCTGAACCAAATTTGAGGACATAATCTGGAGTGACACCCAAGAAGCCCTGAGCCAGTGGACTTGTGGTGGTGGGGTTGCAGTTTAGTTTTATACATTTCAGGGAGACAGGAATTACAGGTGAAGTCATAAAGCAATACATGAAAGGTGTACATTGGTTTGGCCTGAAAAGGTGGGGCCTCTGGGGGGAGGAGGGAGGCTTACAGGTTACAGATAGTTTAAAGATTCTTTAGCTGACAACTGGCTGAAAGGGCTAGGCTTTTTCTAAAACACCAGGAATCAGCTAAAAGGAATGCTAAGATAAGGATCTGTAAATAGACAAACTACAGGACACTGTCCAGACCCAAGTTGGTTCGTTATGTACACTGAGGACCTGCAGGTATGTCTTGCATAGCCTCAGGCCTGTTAGTGAGTCACAAAGGACATCTCTAAAAAGGGATGGGGACATAATGATGCAGATCTGGTCTCCTTCTTGATGGCCAGCAACACAATTTTAGGAGATGCCCTTAGCCAAGATGGGGTCCAGTCACATCAGGTGCTGGGGGAGGGAGAAGCCTTAAGATTTTATTTGAGTTCATACCACAAATCTAGATCGAGGAAGGCCAAAAAAATTTTAAAAGGAAAAAACGTACTTAGTCTGTATAAGGGCCGCTCCCAGCCCTCCAATCTTCACGCCGCCAGACTACTTATGTACAGTGGACAGTTCCCAGCTTACCCAGGCCGCCAGCACTGGACAGAGTCGCGGTCCTCCCGGCCCCCAGGAGGCGCAAGGCCCCAGGTACCGTCAAGTTGGGCATCTGGTACCTAACAGTCAAGGCTCCGACACCCCGGGCAGAGGCAGAGCGCAAACGCGACACTGGGAAGCCCAGAAGCCCTAGGGAATCGCGAAAGGTCACTAGGCCCTTCAAGAAGAGGACGTCCTAAAGATCACAAACTTCTACTAGCGACATAAGCCCTCGCTCCCTCGGGTATAGCCCGCTTCCGGCGCCTCTAAACCAGGAAGTGGTACTGTGTCCAATCGCGGTCCTTTTCCCGCACCTTAGCCTCTGAGTACTTCCCTCGCCTAGTCAGTGCCGGAGCCAAGCCGGCTAAGCTACCAATCAGCGCTCAGGGAAGGCGCATGCGTCGTCGAACGAACACGACGGGCGGTCAACTTTGACCCGAAGACGAACGCTTCTCCTCTCCCTCCAGACCCCGCCTGCTGTGAAGATGGCGCTCTACAGGGCGAGCTGGGCTCGGGCTGCTTTGCGGGGTTCGGCGGTCAACCCTGGATCCTTTGTCACCCGGGAGCTGCAATTTGGTCGCTCTGTCCTGGCTTGGGGCCCCCCTCGGTGAGGGACCTGGAGAGGGAAAAGCATTTTTGTCGTCCAGGCTCTTCAAGTGGCACAACCTTGTCTGCATGCTGTCTCTTAGTGTTCAGGATTCCATGCCTTGGCGCTGGGATTTTAATTTTTCTGGTCAGGATTAGCACTCCAGTCTCAGCTAGTGACCTGACTTCCTGACTCTCTTTGACTCCCAGTGCCTCATACTGTCTGATCTCCCCACATGTCCTGAGCTCATCTTTCAGACCGAGCATCTTTGGGGGGGTTCAGATTTTACCGCTAATATCTTGATCCCACGTCTCTCTGGCTTTAGCCTGCAGTTCACATTGTCCACAGGTCTTGCTCTGCCTCATATACCACTTCTGACTTCCCTTCCTGCCTGACCTCTGCTTGATCTGTCTCAATCTGATTGTTTATCTGTCCTTGACCCCAAGATCTTAGTATGTGGAAGTTTCAACTCTTAGCATACACTCTAGGACTGGGTCCCAGATAGTTTCTATGATCTTCCTTATAGGACTTCGAAGCTTCACTTTTCTCCAAAGGCAGATGTGAAGAACTTCTACTCTTATGTGGTCAACAAGACGAAAGTGATTAATGGGAAATACCATCGTTTCTTGGGTCGTCATTTCCCCCGCTTCTATGTTCTGTACACAATCTTCCTGAAAGGTAAACGCAAAACTAAAATAGAAATCCCTGAATCAGCTCTTGGGCATGGTCAGAGACTTAGAATAAATTAAGATCATTTGTAGGTTCTGCTCTGGGAGTGTTAGCAGGAATTTCTTTTGTTTTATAAATGCTTGAACATTAAACTTATTCTTAAATTAGCACTTCTTGAGGATGTTTGTATAAGGATATTATGAAATACAACTTTTGACAACATGGAGGGAAAAGAATATATGAATATTCTTGTACTTTTCTTAATCTGGCTATCTTAGAAATTTTCTGTCCTGCACAAGGACAGGGATCTGTGGCTGAACATACTTTGACAACATGGAGGGAAAAGAATATATGAATATTCTTGTACTTTTCTTAATCTGGCTATCTTAGAAATTTTCTGTCCTGCACAAGGGCAGGGATCTGTGGCTGAACATACTTGCCCTGTGATTTATCAGTTGCCTTGCCCCATAAGAAAATGTTGCCCTAAGAAATTTATTGTCACA